TGATAAGCTGAATTTCTCAGACCACATTGCTAAAACTGCCCGGTCCTGCAGATTTGCTTTATACAACATCAAGAATATCAGGCCCTTCCTTTCAGAACATGCAACACAACTCCTTGTTCAAGCTCTTGTTCTGTCCAGGCTGGACTATTACAATGCTCTCTTGGCAGGTCTTCCAGCCACTTCTATCAAACCTCTGCAATTAATACCATTGCAAGATAAATCTTTAATGAGCCGAAAAGAACGCATGTCACACCTCTGTTCATCAATTTGCACTGGCTACCAGTAGCTGCTCGCATTAAATTCAAGGCATTAATGTTTGCCTACAAAACCACCACTGGCTCTGCACCCCTTTACCTAAATTCATTACTTCAGAGTTATGTGCCCTCTAGAAGCTTGTGTTCTGCAAGTGAACGGCGTATTATTGTGCCATCTCAAAGAGGCACAAAATCACATTCACAGACTTTTTCATTAACTGTTCCCTCCTGGTGGAATGACCTGCCGAGCAGCTGAGTCCTTACCCATCTTCAAGAAATGACTAAAACGACTAAATCTGTTCCACCTTTATTTGACCCTCTAACTCTAGCACTTTCTATTCTATTGTAATTCTACTTTATCTATATTTATCTTCTTTTTTTTAATTAAAAATACAAAAAAAACAAACAAACACTAGCTTTCTATTTTTTCTATTCTATCTGCTTGTTTTTCTTTGTGTGTGTGTGTGTATATATGTGTGTGTATAATATATATATGCTACGTGTACTGCGTTAGGCTAACCGGAGACTTGTCATTTGCACTTATATATTGTTGCTCTTTTGTTAGTTTAGACTGCTTCTATTGTCCTCATTTGTAAGTCGCTTTGGATAAAAGCGTCTGTTAAATGACTAAATGTAAATGTAATATTTTAGTAGTAATATTTTTAACTTGTTTTTATTTTGATATCTTTCATTTTAATTTTAGTTAAAGTTTTAGTAATTTTTTGTGTTTTTGTAATTTTAATTAGTTTTTATTAATGTTAGTCTCAGTTTTAGTTATTTTAGTACATCAAGCTAAACTGAATGAAAATGAGAAGTGTTGCCTTGGCAACTAGATGAAATAAAATAATATTTAAAATGTTTTAAAAAAAATCAATTTTAAAGTTTATTTTATTTCAAGTTTTAGTTTGAATTAACTATAAAAACCCTGGTAGTAATTCATATGGGCCTGTATTGTTTTAATGTTACAGCAAATAAAATAAACATCATCAAAAACAATTATCAGTACAAAACATCTCCCAGGATAAATACATGCTTCTATTGTGTAAATAAACACCAATATCTTATTCCCTAAATCAAACTCAAACATTTCTCGCTCTGGCAGGTCTCCAGTATCCCACTGAAAGTAAGTTTGTTCAGCGTTTGAGGGAACTGGAGAAAGCTCAGGACAGTGACGGGATCCCGCTGATACCCTCCACACCAGAAGAGATGGAGGAGATGCTCAAACTGTGTTCCTATGTACGCTTTAAGATCCCTAAACAGGTGGGTTTATGTAGTTTGATGCTTCTTATGGGAGTTTGAATCAGTTGTTAATGACTGTTTTGTTCTTCCTCTGGTTTCCTAGATTCTTCAAGGACTGGTTGACGTCCGTCTTCCTAACAATGACTTCTACCGCGAGTGTGAGTGTCTCTGGTGTTTTTCCTACCTTGATGTCTTTAGAAATAGCAGATCTGTGTTCAGTTTGATCAATATCTTTTGCAGGTTTCATGGAGCTTGTCGGAGAGAAATCCAGACACTCTTTACATGAGAACATGCATCTCATTTCAACTCCTCTACAAGTTATTTGGGGGAAAAACGACCAGGTACAGATACACTTTATTAGAATTGTAGATCTGATCTCACAGTTGCAAGTTGTTAATTGTGAGATTATCAGAATACTGAGAAAGTAAGTCAGATTGGGAGTTTATATCTCAGAATTCTGACTTTTTTGGACTTTTTTTCTTAGAATTGTGAGTTTGTCTAATAATTGCAAGATATTAATTCTCGGAATTCTGAGAAAAAAGTCAGATTGTGAGATTGTATATCACAATTCATACTTTTGTTCTCAGATTGTGAGTTTATATCATCAATTTCTGATTTTTTTCTGACTTTTTCAGCATATTGTCAGAGTTATTAATTGTGAGATGTGGAAAAAAAAGTCTGATTGCCAGTTTATATCTCACAATTCATTTTTTTCTCAAAATTGCGAGTTTATATCTCTCAATTGCAAGTTATTAATTGTGAGAATATCAGAATTCTGAGAAAAAAAGTATGAATTGTGAGATATAAACTCGCAATCTTTTTTAAGCAATAAATCTCATTCTTCTTCTGAAGCAATCTTTTTTTTATTTCGGAATTTTCACATTTTCTGACTTTTTTTCTCAAAATTGCAATTTCATTTATTCATTCATATTAATTGAGAGGTTCTCAGAATTCTGAGGAAAAAAAGCCACTGCGAATTTCTATCTCACAATTCATACTTTTTTTTTTCTTCTCAAAATTGTGAGTTTATATCTTGGAATTCTGCCCTTTCCTGACTTTTTCTTGACTTTTTTTATTAGTTATTAATTGCAAGAAAAAAGTCTGTTATAAATCATTCTTACCACTTTTCTTCTTTGCAAGAATGTAATCACATACACTACCGGTCAAACGTTTGGGATCAGAACGATTTTTAATGTTTTTTACAGGAGTTTCTTATGCTCATCAAGGCTGCATTTATTTGATCAAAAATACAGGAAAAAATGTTATATTGTGAAATATTATTATGATGTAAGATAACGCTTTTCTATTTTAATATACATTCAAATGTAATTTATTGCTGTGATCAAAGCTGAATTTTCAGCATAATTCCTCCAGTCTTCAGTGTCACACGATCTTCAGAAATCATTCTAATATGCTGATTTATTATCAGTGCTGGAAACTGTTTTGCTGCTTCATATTTTTTTGGCACCTGTGATACTTTTTTTAAGGATTCGTTGATGAAAAAAAAGTTAAAAAGAAGAGCATTTATTTAAAATAGAAATATTTTCTAACAATATAAACTACAGTTCAAAAGTTTGGGGTCAGTACATTTTTATTCTTTTTTTTTTTGAAAAAAAAAATTACAACTTTTATTCAGCAAGGATGTGTTCAATTGTTAAGTGATAGCAAAGATTGATATTGTTGGAAAATATTTATATTATGAATAAATGCTCTTCTTTTTAACTTTTTATTCATCAAAGAATCCTGAAAAAAGTATCGAAGTTTCTAAAAAAAATATAACTGTTGATAATTCTAATAATAAATCAGCATATTAGAATGATTTCTGAAGGATCATGCGACACTTACTGGAGTAATGGCTGATGGAAATTCAGCTTTGCATCACAGAAATAAATGATATTTTAAAGGATATTAAAATAGAAACCGGTATTTTATATTGTAATGACATTTAGCAAGATTACGTTCTTTTCTGTATTTTTGATCAAATAAATGCAGCCTTGATAAGCAGAAGAGACTTCTTTAAAAAACATTACAAGTTTTAAACTTTTGACCGGCAGTGTATCAGCCATTGAAAAATGCATGTACATTTGAAACTTGACATCATTAAAGAGCAGATTCTGTGTATTGTATCCTACAGGTGTTAGACGTGTCTGGGGCTTCAGTTCTGGCCAGAGCCATCCCAGGATCTCAGGTTCATCTGCTAGACAACTGTGGTCATTCAGTAGTGATGGAGCGGCCGAGGAAATCCGCCCAGCTCATCATGGACTTTATCATCTCACAACAGAACAGCAACAAGAAACTGTCCTAAAACTGGACTTCATATATCTTTAATATGTGGCTTCATGGTTGGTTGAAGGTTAAGGATCTCGGCTGCAAACCTAAAAGTTGCTGGGTTGATCTCGAGAGAAGGTGAAGCAGAGATCTGAAAGATACAGATTTCACAGTCCTGCTGTGTAATTGATTACTCTTTGTTGTAAGTCAATGCAGTTTGTGCACAGAAACATGCTTTGGATCAAAGACTCTTAAAAAGCAACAATATATGATTTTACTGTGGAAGCCTGTTTCCGCCTCTGAGTAAAAAATAAAAAAGGGAATTTTGACTTTTTATCTCACAATGCTGACTTTTTTTCCCTCACAATTGCGGGTTTATAGTTGGCAATTCTGACTTTTTTCTTGCAATTCTGTGTTTATATCTCTTAATTCTGACATCTTTTCTCAGAAATGTGAGATATAAACTCACAATTGTGCATTATAAAGTCCAATTCTGAGGAAAAAAATACTATTTTCTTATATTTGCAAGTTTATATCTTGCAATTCTGACTTGATTTCTCAGAATTTTAATTTTATATCTCTCAATTCTTTGTTTTCAGAATTATGAATTATGAATTATCATTAATTCTCAGAATTGCGACTCTATTTCTCAGAATTGTGAGTTTATATAACGCAGTTATGAGGAAAAAAAGTTAGAATTGTGAGATAAAAAGTCGCAATTACATTTTTTATTCCGTGGCGGAATCTGGCTTCCATATTTTACAGCCTGTAAATAATCAGTAGAAGTTATTTTTGTAGTGAACGCTCAGGGACGCACACTAACCACTGAGTTGAAAAGCACTTCAGAAGCTATGCAGATACAGATCAGTGTCCTGCAGACAGTAATGGTTCCAGTTCAACATAGAATAGACCAAAAACAGTTATTTACTATTAATATATTTCTAATTTTCCTCTAATACCATTCCATGTTTGAAGAGACCTACCTAGACAGCTTTTCTGGGCATCAGGCACTTTCTTGAACTAATCGAACGCCCAGAAATGAGACACAGCCTATACGCTTATCTCTTTTGTTGTTCTTTACCTTGCCATTTTAACATGATTTAATGTTGACGGTGAAATGTGTCATCATCATTCGGTCGTGCATCATTTTCTGTCCTATACTACTGTTCTTACAGTTTTAACCTTGTACATAAGGCTGTATGTCTTGTAAATGTATTTCTGAAATAATGCAAACAGCTATTTCATGACTTTGTTAGAATCTGGTTAATAATACTGTCTTTAAATGCATATTTAGTGAATTCTTACAGTATTTTTTGTCAGTTGAGGCTCAGTTTACATGCACTCTAAAAAATGCTGGGTTGTTTCAACCCAACTTTGGGTCAAATATGGACTAACCCAACTGTTGGGTTAAATTTTTACATTATATTTTTTACCCAAAAGTTGGGTTAGTCCAAATTTGACCCAAAGTTGGGTTGAAACAACCCAGCATTTTTTAGAGTGTGGTCTTTAAACACAGGAGACGTAGTGAAGTTTTCATTTTATTTTCATGACTAATATGAACATTTATCAGTGATAATGTATCACAACATTTCGTTTGAAAGATTCTCCAAATCACACAAGAAGTTATAACAGAACATTGTTCAAATATGACTAAATATCTTTATAAAAGTCATTTAAGTACATTTGCATCATATTACGGCTTGTCGCTTCATGGAAGACAAAATCATAAAGTACTTAATAGTATAAATATTTTTCCAAGCTGAAAATGTTTATTGTACCCTTTTAATCTAAAAAGAAAATAAAACAATTTTAATTTTAAAAGTTTGATAATATTTTTACATTTTCTTCACAGAAGTAGTTTAAATTGTATCGTTGCTTTTATCAAAGAAAATTCAGATTAAATTTTATTGATAAAAAGTTGCATTCATCTAATAATTATTATTACTGAATCATGAGTCCATGACTTTGGTCAATTCTTCACTGAAGACAAAAGAGAACAAGTAATCCCGAAAATGGAATTCTAATGTTTCTGGTCAAATCTATAAGTTGTTGTTATAAAGATACACAATATGTGATCTTAGATAAATATATGTTTTTTTAGCCCTGATACAGGACAATAATACAGTTTTAAAAATGGCATGAAAATGTAAAAGTCTAATACAGACGTTAGTAAATGTTCCCATCTGGAACTCTTGACATGAAAGCTTCATAGAAAATTGAATCATCAGAGCACTTAACAGTGCAAATATCTCTTCCAAACTGGAACTCATGAATCACTTTTTCTCAAAAAGAGAAACTAAAAGCATAATAGTCCACTGAGTCAAGTGTAGACGTTCAGTGTGAGTCGTTAAGGCTCTACCAAGGCCTCCAGATGGCGCTCTTGTTGACATTCATGTCTTTGCTGGAGGTCTTCTGGTCTGGCAGGACACTTTCCCTCCTGTTCTGCTCACATGATGTCTGCAGCTTCTGGAAGTGCTTCAGCAGACTTCTCTGGCTCTGTGTCTTCATCTCATCTTTGGACAGGAAGTGCACAATCTCACCGACACACAATTGTGGCGTTGCAGGAAGTTGAGCGTCATCTCCAGGATATCTGCTTCCTCCAGCTTGGAATCAGGCTGCTGCTTGAGGAACTCTGGAGCCAGAAGACACTTGAGCTGCTCGATGCTGCTGTTGATATGATCTCTGCACATCTTCTCCACCATCGGCTTTCTCATCTGCAAGTGAAGACAGAAAAGCATCAGGAAAGTGGCCTTTGAATAAACCAGTGTTTGAGAAGAGCCGTGAAAGCTGCTGCAGTAATGCTGCTGTAAGTAGGATGTGAATGTACCTTGTTGTTGAGAGGGAGAAGCTCCTTTGAGATGATTGTAGGTGTCATGTCTGGATCTCTGTGCTGTAGATCTCTCTGTTCAGAGTGAGTCTGATTTGCACTGGCTGCAGCTCCTCTATTTATACTCCCAAATCTCCATATGAATGTGTGAGGCTTGAGCTTGTTGGAGTTTCTCACAGTTTGGAGCCAATGGAAGAGCTCAAACAGACAATGAGGGATGTGGGCCGCCACATGCTCAATGATCCTCCATCAGGGGCTCAAAGGAGCAGGTGGAGGGTGACTCTGGGAAAGTGCTGAGAGCTCATCTTCACATCAATGTCACTGAAGCAATGTCATAACCAAGCACGTGCCATACTGAGATTTAATTTCCTCTAAAATAACACTGCATGCCTTCATAAAAACAACACATCAGTATTTACCATAAACATGTGCAAAGCAATGACATTTTTAAAAGAATTTAAATGCATACATACTTTTATGTGTGCATTTATACAAACACATGTTTCTCCTGGAGTTTAATTGCTTGTGAATAAAATCAGCACATGTGGCTGCAGTTTATAATCAGTTAAAATGCTGTAATGAAACACAGTATTTTAGGTCAGTTTAAAATGATAATCTGGTGAAGCAGCTGTTCTATGAGTTCTGTGGTTGTACCTGTTCTCAGGCTGGTGTTTCACTCACACACACACACAGGTTTGTTTTTATGGTTTATGGGGACTCTCCATAGGCGTAATGGTTTGTATACTGTACAGACCGTATATTCTATTGCCCTACACCAACCCTACCCCTAAACCTACCCCTCACAGGAGACTTTCTGCATTTTTAGATTTTCAAAAAAACTGAATTATTTATAAGCTTTTGAATTACGGGGACACTGAAAATGTCCTCATAAATCACTTTCTCGCTGTAATACCTATGTCATACCCATGTTATTATACAAATTTGTGTCCTCATAAACCACATAAACATGCACACACACACACACACACACACACAGACAGACAGACAGAGCTGGTTCATGGCACAGTGTGGACCCTGATCACACGCCCCAGCGCTCCTGGATCTGGTGGAGCCACAGAGACACACGGCTTCCCACACTTCTGTATTCATCACATTAAATCACTCACAATAGAAGTGTGTCGGTTCCCACAGGACTAACGTGGTTTCCAAACACTGAATCACCTTTGCTGTGTGTCACACCGAAGCTTTAATGATGCTAAGCTGCAATAATTGTTTTTCTGAAGTTAAAAGTATACTATATGCTCTGCCAGATTTTAAATTATAATTGAAGTCTGGGATTGAAGGGTGGTTAAATCCATTATGGGTGGACTAAATGATTAATTAAATTGATGCACATTTTGTTTGATTTAAAATAATTTAATAACTGCACAGACGTGCTTCAAGTAATTTCAGTGAAATGTATCAGGGAAGGCATTCGAAAATGCAACCTTTTTTGGTTTTAATTGTAAGGCCTATTTGTCCATCTGATTATCATGTGAATAGACACACTTCTATTGTTGTGTGTGTGGGAAACTCTGGAGAACAGAGCTCATTAGCATCCTAAACCCCAACACAAGCTCAAGATTTGACAAACACACAAGGGAGTCGACACACTTCTGGATATTTACTGTACATACATGCATGAGCTTCATCCTCCAAACAGCTGATAAAAACATCACAATAATCCACACCACTCCAGTCCATCAATTAACGTCTTATGAAGCCAAAAGCTGCGTGTTTGTAAGAAATATAATTGAAGTCTGGGATTGAAGGGTGGTTAAATCCATTATGGGTGGACTAAATGATTAATTAAATTGATGCACATTTTGTTTGATTTAAAATAATTTAATAACTGCACAGACGTGCTTCAAGTAATTTCAGTGAAATGTATCAGGGAAGGCATTCGAAAATGCAACCTTTTTTGGTTTTAATTGTAAGGCCTATTTGTCCATCTGATTATCATGTGAATAGACACACTTCTATTGTTGTGTGTGTGGGAAACTCTGGAGAACAGAGCTCATTAGCATCCTAAACCCCAACACAAGCTCAAGATTTGACAAACACACAAGGGAGTCGACACACTTCTGGATATTTACTGTACATACATGCATGAGCTTCATCCTCCAAACAGCTGATAAAAACATCACAATAATCCACACCACTCCAGTCCATCAATTAACGTCTTATGAAGCCAAAAGCTGCGTGTTTGTAAGAAACAAATCCATCATTAAGATGTTTTTAACTTCAAACTGTTGCTTCCGACTATAATAATCATAATCAGAGTCCATAATCCTTAATAACGCTTCCTCTAGTTTAAAAGTTGTCTTGTCTGAATCAGGAGAGAAATCTGCACAGTTCAAACACAGTTTACAAGCAAAAACAGTCCGAAACAGCTCTAAACAAATATGTGGGTGGATTTTGATGTGAGAGACAACAGGAGATTTTTCACTGAAGGAAGTGTTATTATGGATTGTAGACTTGTAATGCTTTTAAGTTAAAATGTCTTAATGATGGATTT